AGAGTGGGGGTTCAATCCACTACTTTTTCTTCAGGTTCCTAGAGACTCTGCAAGTGCCCTTTGTAACACCAAGAGCTCTGAACCGTCAGGCAAGCCTGATGCATCAGCCTGTGGTTGGGAAGGGTGGGGAGGAGTCTCCTATGTTACACAGCTCTCAGTTGGATAAGCCTGTCTTCTATGTGATATAGCTGTTTATTATTGCATTTTATTATGATGATGATGATGATTATTAAGATCTGTTCCAGTAAAAGTTATTACTGACTGACCGCTGCGAGGTGGCCTGACTCTTCTGTGCTTGGTTGAAGTCTTGTGTGTGATGGTTGGGGTTCGGCGGGAGGGTGTTTGTGCGTGGAGGCTCGCGGGGCTGACCTGTGGGGGGGGGCGCGGTCAGCAGGCCGTAATGCAGCTGTGTGTCGCACCACACCTCCCCCCCCGAGGGACACTTCCTCCCGTGCAGCGGGGAGGTGTAGCTCAGCCTGCTACATGCTTCACAGTGTCGAGTCGAGAAGGGAGCGTCCGCATCTGATCCAGATCCTGCCCTGTAAGGACCCATGGGCTAGGCTGCAGGTAGGTGCACCCTCGCTGGCCAGAATATTAGGACACCTTCCCCAAGCCAGGTCAAATAACAGACTGGCAGGGCCCGATGAACGCAGGACAGTCTAATGCCATCTTCCCAGCCCAGAACACTCCCTGGACCACAGCCCTATTACACACCCCAGGGACAGGGCACGTCCTCACGGCCACCTGCAGGGGAGGCCGTCCTGCTGCAAGAACAGGACAAGGCCGAGCCACGGCTCGTCCGGGTCCCCCTGGGACCCGATAAATAGTGTTTGACGGAGCCCGTCCCACAGTCTGTGGCATCGGGTCAGATACGTCCTATTTCAGGTGGGCAGCTGCGTCAGCATGCGTAGGCTGCAAAGGTTTATTCCATGCTGAAAAAAAGAAGAAAGAAAACACAATGTTTCGGCCGTGGAGCCTTCTTTAGGTGTGAGCAAATCTGTCCTATTTCAACCTTCATCCCTGTATCTGGAATGCTATAATTCTCATAAAACGTCCGGTTGGGGAATGAAATAAACTGAGTGAATAACTACAGTGATAGTATTTTTAGAAAATGGGTATTTCTTTTTGGAGGCTCCTCGCCAGGACCAGCAGGCTGAAAATCGCCGGATGGGTCGGGGGTCTTCCCCCCCGGCTCGTCACGGCTGTATTTCTCGCCGCGGCCGCTAGGGGGCGGTGAAGCTCGGGTCCGCCGCGCACGCGTGTCTGGGTCGAGAAAAGGTGTTTGCACACTCGCGTGCGCGATGGACGATGCTGGACGTCACCTCGACGGTGGAAGGGGGGGACGGCGGCTCCTCGTTAGGTTCGGCCTCAGTCCTGCGGGTGGTTTGATTTGGTCTCGACTCGACCCTCCAGAGAAGAATCGCTCCCGGTCTTCTGACACAGCGGCGCCATGGCCCGGCCAAACCTGTGCGACCCCAAGTTGGTGCTCGATCCGCACAAGAAGGTAACCTGGTCTCGCTTGGCGCTCCGCGGGCGACCCTGTCCCCCCCGTGGGCTCGGGCGCGAGTGTTTAATTGTTCACCAGCGCCCGTGGGCGAGAATCCGCAAGTTCTCCGTGTGCGCTCCACGGTCTACAACCCACGCTGTGGGGTTTTTAATTGCCTGCAGCTGTAGTGACTACCTTGGGCTACCTCGGCTGTTGCAGATAAGAGCAGATAAGGCTGGCAGCAAATTGTTTCGGTTTCAGTGTTTCAAAGGCTTGAATTAATCCCATAACAGGTCCATCTTGAAGACTGCGATACGATGTAGTTACTTGACTAACATTTTAACCTGAGGGGCCAGCGTGCTTGGTCACAGTTTGGAGGAGGAAAATGACGAAGTTCTGCAGCTTCCACTGGCTTGCAAAGTGCTTTCAAGTGTAGGAGCCAAACATTTCTTTATCTCTTTTTTGTTGTTGTTGTTAAAAGAAGACGCTGTCGGTTGCGGCGGTTTTGCGCTTTGCCCCGGCATGTAGCCCTCGGCGTTGAGGCTCCGGCGGCGGTCGCGCTGTCCGGCGACCCCGGGCTGGAGAGACGTGCTGCTGGGCCAGCGTGGCAGGAGCTGCTGACGCGTTTAGTTGGGTCAAAGTAGCAATGAATGAAAAAACTAACCGCACGAGTTCTCCTCCCTAAAACATCTTCTTTCAAACATGTTCTAGAGCCACCGGTTAGCGCACTTCAGTGTCCCTTGTGGGACACGAGCTTGGGGTGCTCTTGGAGCCCCAGGGCCCCCTTGAGCCTCAGCTGCCTGGCTGCAGGCCAGGGGGAGACGGTCAGGGCTCGTGTCGCTGTGCGGATGGAGGGGCTGCCGGTCGGCGCCCTTGTCCTGGCTGGGAGCCCCTCCCCCCCGGGACAGTCCCGCCGGGGAGCCCTGTCCTGCCTGCGCTCGCTCGCCGTGCCAGTAATGTGATGACGTGCTGCCGTCAGTGCGTATTGATGTCTCTGGCGAGTTCTCCCGCAGCTGGAAGAGAAGCGAGCCCCCCTGAAGAGCTGGGCGAACACCTCCATGGGGAAGGACCGGAGGCAGCAGGTAGGGGAGGAGCAGCTGAGTGTGTTGCCGTGACGCCCCCTCTGTCCCCAGCCCCACGTGACCACGCCCATCAGCCGTCACTGGCCACACCCACCATGTCAATCAACCCACAGTAACCCCACCCACTACAACTTGTAGGAGGGCTTGTGTTGACCATGCCCATGTACACTCATCCCTCACTGACCACACCCCCAGATATATTTCAATCCAGGATGACCACACCCCCTCTGACTCCTACCCTGGATTACCATGTCCCCTCTGTGTCTCAAGCCCTTTATGACCCCCTCCCCCACTCCTGTCAGTAATGGTCACACCCCTATCTCAACTCCTGGATAACTATGCCAATCACTCCTCTCCTGTATGACCACATCCCCTCTCCTCCCCCACCCCCCTGTGTGGTCACACCTTCTGTCCCCATCCCCTCTCCTTTCTACCCCCCTCTCTCTCTCTCCTGGTCCCAGTCAGACAGCCTTTCCTAATGTCAAGCACAGGAGAGCATCCCCCACCACCCCTCCACCTCCCCACAGTTGTCTTGTTTGGATAGAATGTAGAAAGGGGTACAAACTAGAGGTGGTCATTCACCTCTCCGGAGGGTCTCCTGAAACGCTTCTAAAGAAATCTGTACTCTCATCAAACTAATGATCCCACACTTGGGAGCAGGAAAAAGACTCAAAAAGGTTAAACGTCCATTTGCAGAGATTGAGAACAAAGTGCTTTCTCCTTCTCCTTCCGAACCGGGTGTCCGAGCCCGCTCCTAGATCGCCCATTAGGAAGGTCGTTTCTGACATTGTGTCAACCCAGCACATGAGATGGTAACTGAGCAGCTGGTGATCATGGAAGGACTGGGGTTAACTAACTGGTGATATACAGGTTGCCTCCGAGAGCTGGTTGGCTGTGGGTCTTAGGAGCGGATCCCTTCCCCTCTGGCTCAGTCTTGAGTTGGACCTCTGAACGGGCTTCGTTGTTCTTCTCTTGCAGGCCCGGAGGCCTGACATGGCTATGGACTGCATTGAGGAAAATGGCCACAGACATGGTGGGATACAGCCTCCCCTCTTCCTGCCCCTGTCCCTCTGAGCTCTCCCCCTGCTCTGCACTCCTGCCTGCTTCTCCGTCTCTGAGCCTTGTCCCTGTGGTTGACAGATGAGCGGGGCACTGACAGCACCATCCTCCTGCAATATGGCTCGCTCGACATGGCCCCCAGCTTGCTGATGAGAGACATGGAGGTGGCCATGGAGAAACTGGGCCTCACCTTTGTGAAGATCTACGCCTTGGACATCTTCTGTGACATGATGGTGAGGACGTGGGCCGGGCAGTGCCGGGGCCGGTGGAGGTCTGGGCTGCGCTGCCATCTTGAGACCAGCGCGCAGTGAGATGCTCGGCTCGCCTGCTATCCCTCTGGGGAACTGGCACGTGGCGACTGCAGGCTCTCTGTAGGACGGACACTGCACAGGGGAGCGTGAGCCTGTCAGCTCCACACGGGCCAGTGGGGGTTTAATTCATCTGCCTGGCTGAGGGTCTAGGTGAACACCGTGCTCAGTGAGTGGATGGCACAGTGCCACAGGCAGGGTCACCAGAGGGCTTTGTGCTCAGTGGGAGGTCAGTCTGAGACTCCTCCTTGGTCTGACCTTTGCCCTCTGTCCTCCCCCAGCGGAAGCAGTCCAGTTATGCCTTGCAGAGCCCCGAGCTGCCCAGCGGGTTCACCAGCTGCACGCGGGCCATCCTGGTGGACTGGCTGATACAAGTTCACGTGAGTGCCCCCTCTTCCCTCCTGCCTGATGCTGCCCGCCGCCCCAGCTCGACCCCCGACCCCTGACGCTGTCCCCTGTTCCAGGACGCCTTCCACTACAGCGAGGAGACGCTGTACCTGACCGTCCACCTGCTCAACAGGTGCATGCGGAGCTGCAGGGTGTCCATCGCCACCTTCCAGCTGCTGGGCATGGCCTGCCTGTTCATCGCCAGCAAGAGGGAGGAGTGCCTGCTGCCTGAGGTGACAGCCTAGCTCCTGTCCTCCCTCACTGCACCCATGACTCAGCCCGCTTGTCCAGGTTTATTGTTTGTTGCTGAAACACTCCGTGGTGTTGGCAGGGTAAAGATAACTGCATCTAAACTGTGCTGTGTCATTATTAGCTGCGCTGACCGGCGGCGTCATTTGGGAACTTTTAGGCACGATGCTGTGGATAGTGGTGTCTGCTAATCCAAAGGAACAAGTGATACTGTTCATGCACATTAACTGCAAACAGTTTTGGAACTGAATAAAATAAATCACCAGGAATGCTTGTCAAGGGTTGCGGTAACTGAGAGCTCATTGGGAATGAAAAACTGGGTCTGGGATTGAGACGCACTCCAGCAGGTTAGTGGATATCGGGATTACTCCCAAGTAGGAAGTGTACAGCAGTTCCAGTTCCCACCACCAGGGCAGTTTAGCTAGTAATGCCTACCGTAAAGTCAGCAGCTTGGCCTTGTAGCGTGCTGTCAGATTCCCCGAGTGTCTGCGCTCAATAGGCTGCATTGTGTCGTCTGACAGTCTGGGGGGCGTCGATCAGCTGGGTTGTAGTGGGGGTGTTAGGCAGTGTTAACATATACAAACGAGAGGAGGCCATTCAGCACATTTTGATTGGTAATTTGTAGCTAATGGACTCAAGGATATCATCCATGTGATTCCTTGAAAGAAGCCAGTTTATCAGCTTTAATGGCTTGGCCTTGTTCCACACTCCCAAAACCCTTTGTGTAAGGAAGTGCCGCCTGTTCTTGCTTTTAAAGTTTTTTTGCTTAGTATAAGACATCACGTTATTGGCCATATACAATTTCTTGCATTAGGAATTTGTCTTTCCACAGACCCCAGCTTGCTCTCCATGAGACACACAGACAGGGAGAGAAGCTGGGGGTCAGAGCGCAGGGTCAGTCATTGTACAGCACCCCTGGAGCAGTTGGGGTTAAGGGCGTTGCTCAGGGGCCCAGTGGAGTAGGATTCCTCTGCCGGCCGTGGGGTTTATGCTTTAGCCTGTGCTTATACAGGATGTTACGTATCATGTGTTTTTTTTATTTCCTTTCTGCTTCTTCTGCTTGCTAATCCTGATTTGGTGCCATCTGCAAACATGACTAGTTTAACAAGACTTTCAATATCTAGATCATTGACAGAAATAAGGGAGAAGAAAGGTGCTAATACAGATCCTTGTGTTAGTTCCCCAATGACCCCAACTCTGAGATCTCTCCTCCAACCTGTATCAAGAGCCTTCTGAACATCTGAATATACCATTTTGTATTCATCACTGCTTTTTCTTGTTTAAATACAGTGAACAAGTTTGTTCAGCAATGTTTCTCAATCTGCCAGTGAGATTCCAGTCTGCTGTTGGCTCCGGGCTCACGGTCTGGAGAGAGATGTTGATGACGGTCCTCGTTTGTACTGTCCAGACTGTCGCAGGGGTCCCAGCAGTGAGCCATGTTGGCTAGTAATTGCTGTGTCTCAAACCCCCCCCCCCCCCCCCCCCCCTCCGCTCACAGGTGTCAGAGCTCTGTTTCCTGATGGAGAACACCTACAGCAAGAAGCAGCTCCTGCGCATGGAGAGGCACGTGCTGAAGGAGCTGAAGTACGACCTCTCCTACTGCTACCCTCTGCACTTCCTCCTGCTGAGCGGCACCATCACCCGCTACAGCGCCCAGGTCAGCCAGCAGGGCGGCGCAGTGGTGAAGGGGCGAGGCAGGTTGTGCACTGCCATTCCATTATTAGGCCCCCGGAGCAACCTGAGTCGCACTTTAATTCTAGACAGAAAACACGTAAACACAAATGAGCAGAGCTGTGGAAGTGCTAGGCTTGCTCCACAGGGCTACAAGGATACACAGGCGCCCAAATGTAAGAGCTTCTGCTGCCAGCAGCCTCTGATGCGGTCTGGTGAGGGCAGGGCCCTGCACACAGCTGCACGCAGGCGGCCCACGTGCGCGTGTCTGGGAGGCACGAGAGAGCGCCGCCCCGCCGTCGGTTCCGGGGAGGGGGTGAGGGTTCTGAGCCTGAGGGGGTCCGTCTCTCTCTGCCCTCCGCTGTGGCCAGGTGCTGTGGATGGCCCGGTACTTCCTGGAGCTGACGCTGCTGGAGCCCCAGTGCCTGGTCTTCCAGCCGGTGCAGCTGGCCAGTGCTGCCCTCTGCCTGGCGTGCAGGGTACTGCAGGGTCAGCTCTTCCCGGCAAGCGAGAGGGCCTGGATGACAGCCGGAAGCATCTATATCTGCAGGTGAGAGTTGGGGGGGGGGGCGGGGGGGATGAGGAGTCCTGCCATTATAAAGCAAGCCTCTCCCCCCTGGATGAGGGGAAAATTCCAGTTGTCTTGGAATCCTAGAGGGGGGGGCAGGGGGGCATGTGCCTCCCAGAGCACATTTCTTTGGAAGCAAAGGATGTTCAGTGCTGTCTTCTCCTAGATAATTAACGCCGGGTGGTGAGTGACGAGCCGGGTCAGAAAGACACAGTGGCAGGATCTGGGAGGGTCCTGCTGTGGCTGACGAGGGGGGGGGGCGGAAGGGGCGCGCGGAGCTGCCAGGCTGATGGGTGCTCTCTCCCGCCTCTCCCGCAGCGAGCGCACGGCGCAGCGCATCCTGCACTACATCGCCCGGCTGGTGATGCGCGCGGGGGCCTCCGAGACCCAGGCCACCTTCCTGAAGTTCTCCAGCGTCACGAGGCTGCAGGTCAGCCTGCACCCCTGCCTGCAGAGCGTGCTGCCCCTGCTGGGGCTGCTGTGAGCCCCCCGCTGCCCCACGCAGGGTCGGGACGAAGCGCTTCGGAGGAGTGGGGCGCGTCCTGCTTGTGGCACTTCCTCCACGGGCCTCGGAGGGGCGCCGTTCCTCACAGATTCAGCTCCCGGAGGAGATGCGGGCTCTCCTGGGTTTTCCTTTCCACTCCAGCTCTTAATTATCCGTTGCAGGGAATGTTGTGTTTTTGTTTTTTCCTTACAGACTGTTTTACTGTGGATTAAAAGATGTAGCTGCCACCTCCTCCCCTCCCCTTCCAAATTAGAAGTGTTCAGTTCCTTTGGCATTGCATTCTGCCCGTAGTCCGAATGAATGAAGACTGAGCTCCTGGGGCCTGAGGCTGGCAGCTCTGTCCATCCCAGAGTGACGTCTGATCTTGCCACATCATCACATAGATGTTTTGGGAGGGAGGTGTTTCTCAGGGATGTCTGATGCCCTAGAAACGTGTCTGTCTAATGAAGAAGAGGTCTGACTGGGGGCTGAGTGAGCAGTGGAGACAGTAGACTTGAGACTGTTTGCGTGCTCCTGAGTTCCTCATTCTCAGCTTGTCGTGTACTTTTAGGATTTTTACGGAATTTTGGACGAGGTGTAAAATGCCAGAACGTGCCGGTCTGTTGCAGCACAGGATTTTAACATCGTAATTTTGCGCAGCTGTTGAAGCAGCTTGTGTGGGAAAGGGCATTGTTTTTTTTTTACTGAGCCGGGGGGGGCTGAATCGCAGGGGAGACCGGCTTGAATCATGGGACGCTTTCCGCCACCCGGCCAGACGCAGGACCCCGGCCTGGTTCTAGGTGCTTCCTGTTGGGCAGGAGGAGGAAACCTCTGACGGGCTGGCGGGTTCAGTCCTTGCACAAAATTCTTCTCCAGTAAGACTCGGATACGAGAATGGGCTTCCTAAGAGAGCGAAAAGCGAAGCCACAAGAGTGACCTCTGTGTCCTACGTGATTAGTTAGCAGATCCTCCCTGTTCCATCAAACACAACTTAATGCCAGGAAGTGGTCAAGGGGGGAAGTAATTAGGTGTTGCACCATGCCTTTTGGCTTAAGAGTGTACCATATTGGTGTGCAGCACTGAATTATCTTCCCCATGTCACTTCCTCTCCATCTGTTTAGGAAGTTCCCGAAATAGCTTTAACTGGAATAGGCTCACGAATTACAAATGTGAGCTGTGAGCAACTCTGAATGTTATGTGATGAGAGGAGGAGCTCAGAATAAGGAAAACTGGTGCTGATTTCTCTGTAGGTTGGAGATCTTTCCTCAGAACTGTTCTTTCAGCTGCTGTTGGTCTGGGTAGTCTGATTTTTCTCAGGTGAAGGCTGTGAGAAATCTGTTGCTGTTGTCCATTTCTGATGACGGCCCTGTGGTCGCCTGAAGTGTTTTTAAGTTGGTCTTTGTAAACCCCTTGACTTTGTATCGCACTTGTTTGAAAAAGAAAAAAAGAAAAATTTTATTCTTGTTAAAATAAACAGTTTGTAATGTCTGATGCAAAACATTAAAACAAGATTTTGTATTTAAGACTGGCTCTCTGTCTCTTCTGGGATGTGTGATAGTTTTCTTCCCTCTTGGCTTTTTAAAGAGACTAAATGTACAAATGGAGTCTGATATAATTCTGTGTCTTATCCATTGTATTTAAGCAACCTTTTCCTTCTTACATTCAGATTCTTAGGTGGTAAGAGATCGGTTTTGTGACAAATGTCTGCAGAGGAACAAGTAATGGGTTTATTCCGTGCCGAAAAGAGAAGAAAAAAACCACAACGTTGTTCGGGTGACTGGCCTGGCCTTCCGGTCACACCCGAAGAGGGCTCTGCAGGCGAAACGTTGTGTTTTCTCTCTTCTCTTTTCAGCGTGGAATAAACCAAAGACTGTTTTAGTCCTTTGCCAGTGGGTCTAGTGTCTCAAACGGGGTACGCAGGGGTCTGGCAGTGCAAAACCGGCGACTGCCCACCCGCCTGGGTTTCTCTCGGCCGCTGTGCGCGGTTCCACCAGCAGAGGGCGCAGCACGATTTCATTTTCCCCAGTCGGCCATTGAGAAGCGCTGGAAGGCGCACTTCGGTAAGCCTGAGATGTTATAAAAGATGCACACGCTAGCTCTTGGTAATTCGCTAGTTCCTGAGAATGGAGGGATAATAGGTATATTATGCAATGTATTCGCTTGTGAACAGCAAATTATAGCCATGTATGGATTTTTCTTACGTACGGCCAGCTCCCTCTCCCCTGTCTACCAATTAGTTTTTATTTGAATGCTCGTCTGTTTGGCGTTATCTAACAGGGGGGTCGTTCAGCTCTCGTGTTGATCAGATTGCTTTGCAGAACCAGCCGCGCTCCACGCGAAAGCCTGCGCCCGCGAGCGTGAGACGCAGCTCTCTCCGCCGGCCTGCCAGCACGTGTTTCTCCGAGGCCACGCCCCCCCCCCCCCCGGCTCTCACATGGCAACCGCACACCGGCCCCTCTGATTGGCCGGCCGGGCCTCGCTCGCCGCCGGCCGGGGGGCTGAGCCGGGCGATGACGCGGATGGGGGACTCCACGTGGAGCTGTGGAGGCAGCGAATATGGGGCAGAGTGCGAGAGTTGTTCAGCGCGTCTGAGACCGTCTCGATATAGCAAATACATCAGATCTCTGCCGTAATTCCCGTAGCGTCCGCCACCGCCTACACCTCCTAGTGACTGGTTTTAATCGCCCCCCGCCAGAGCGCACGCCGCTCATCTATAAATAACACCGTACACCGGTACTCAGTCATACACGTCCCTAGGCCTGCTTTAAAACCCATTCTGCATTTCTTTGTGTTTCACAAAGGTCACGCTGCGGGAGTTTTTCTTCTGTTATAGTTGTACAACAGCTATACGATATTTTTTTTTTAAATGCACATCGTAAAGGTGTGACAGCAGGTCTGAAGTCTCAACACTTTACATAAGGGTACCTCTAAAGATATTTAGGAAAAGCATAGCAGGATACTTTTAACGTTTGACGATCCCTGTCATTGATATCAAGCACGAGTTTGATTTGATCCGATTCATCCGACGGTTTGTGAGGAAATCTGTGATGTTTCCTTTTTTAAAACATTAAATCATGAAACTCATGTGTCTTTCTCTGTGCGCTCGTTGTTCTGTTTTGAGCTTCTGCGGCGCTGGTTGACTGCTGAGCTTGGGCAATACTGTAAGAGCTCGGTCCGGACATTAAAAGCCTTTTTTTGTTCTGCACCGCACCAAGATGGCGGGAGCTGGACTCTCGCCACGGTCGTCTCGTTCCACTTCAGCTGCCCCCTTTTTCCGCGGCCCTCTCACGTGGATCCCGGCTGGACCACGCCCACACACGTGTATCTGCACGGGATTGGCCGCGGCGCTGGCTGCTCTCCTGGCGTCACCAGAGCTGGGGGCGGATCGGCCACGCCTCCCCCCTGCGCGATAGCGAGCCGCGATTGGGTAACGAACGGCGCCGCTCGGTGAAGTGGGCGGGGGCAGAGGGCGTGGCTTTAGCCGCAGGTGGGCTGGGAAAACGCGTGTAGGAGATGCAGGAACTAAGTCCGCAGCCCAATGGTGTGTGTACAGGCTCAAGTTGCTTTTCGGTCTACAAGGCAGGTTCAATGTCGATACGGGGGACCCCTCGACCTGACGTCACCGAGCAAGAGATGATACTCTTTAGAAAAGCCAAAATGACATCTCCTTGAACCCGAGAATACCATGCCGGAGTCGGAGAGAAGTTGACCAGAGTAAAACCGGAACAGCCGAGATCAGGAAACACAGAGGGTCATCGGAGCAGGTAAATACTGAACCCTGCTCTTGTCCATCTAGCGAGTCTAGACGTGTCGTGTCGGGATCTGTGGCGGAGCCACGGAGGAAAGTGGGAAGCGCTTGCATCTTGTGGCAGATTAAAACACCGCACGTTTATACTGCCGGGGACAACTTGCCAGTCTGTGTTTACATCTAAAATCACAGTGGCTACAGGCAGACCGAGCGCAAGACGCGAGTATGTCTTTGCACAGGTGGTCCAGACCTTGTCAGTTACGGCTGAAGCTGGACGGTCGCAGCGGCAGGGTCTCGTAATGATGATAATTCTGTTTATTGATGCTATTCGCTGTTTTTGCTCGCTCCCTGCCCTTGATGAAAAAGCATTCAGTTCGCAAGTGTGTCTCCTTACGTGACCCGTACTTCGTGCCAAGTTATTACATAACCCCAGCGTAAAACAT